TGTGCCACGTCACATTCGCTGGCAAAATTTCTTTCACGGTTTCAATTGTGACATCATGTATGTGCAGGGCCACACAAACAAAGTGGCTGACACCCTGTCATGGTACTATGAATCCTCATCAGACAAGGATGTCCACTATGACAATTACGTATCCGCAGATATACAGATTGATAAAGAGGGCGACGACTTGCCCTTGGCGCATGCTGAGGAAGCACGAGAATTGTTACACCTGCACAGGTTAAAACTGCAGTGCATATGCCTGGCTGCATCTCACTCTATTGGAGATGCTCAGGAACCATGAGATCTCGAGGCATCCAAGCTCGATCCCCCTGATGATTGTCAAGGGAGGAGGGAGCTTTTTTCCCTCGAAGATGTACTGCCACCATTGGCAGAACTACATCCTCATGTAGAGGACAATGCTTTCATCGCAAGTGTGAAAGACGGCTACTCCAGGCACACTGCTTGGAAAGGAATCCTCACAAAACCTGAGGAGTTCCCCAAGTTCTCAATCATCAATGGCCTGATTTTTCGTCTGAATGATTCAGGCAAACCACAACTTGTCCTCCCTGAATCTATTCATAAAGGGGAGAGGATTATGGGATTGCGATCGAGCACGCACACAGAATCCTTGGTCACCTCGGCATCAAAAAGACGCTCGAGTATGTATGCAAACACTACTGGTGGTCTTCGATGTCAAAAGACATCGAGAAATTCTGCACATCCTGCAGGACGTGCCAGATGACCAAGAAAAGCAAACTCAAATATCTGGGACTGCTGCACCAGCTCCCAGTCCCTGAGAAGCCTTGGGAGTCAATTGCCATGGATTTCGTTGGACCATTCCTGACGAGCCTGAGTTATAACTACCTTTGGGTAGTTTTGTGCCATCTAACGTGCCAGGTTCACCTAGTGCCTGTGACGACCCAGGTCAAGACAATTGAGCTGGCGCATTTGTTCCTGCAACATGTCGTGCATTTGCATGGCATGCCAACATCCATCATGTCAGATCGCGACACGAAGTTTATGTCTCAATTCTGGACTGAGTTACACTGACTAATGGGTGTTAAACTCAAGTTAACCACTGCGTTCCATCCTCAAGGGGATGGCCAAGCAGAACAAGCGATCCAGACGGTGGTCCAGATCCTTCGGTCATTTGTCTGACCCGATCAATGAGATTGGGCCATGCATATACCCATGGTAGAATTCGCATTGAACTCAAGTGCGAATAAATCAACGGGATTCGCCCCGTTTGAGTTGGTATATGGATACCTCCCACATGTCATATCCATCCACGGCCATCACCCTTGACCACCTCCGCTCCTCCAGATTACCTCCACTCCTCCACCACTAACCTCAGAGCCTCCAGTTTCCGCAATCACCTCCGACCCCCCCGATGGTCACCACCCCTCCAATTCAATATATTACCTATGCCTCCCTAAGTACGGAGCCCCGAAGCTCTCCGGACAGCTTTGATGTCCGCTAGCGCATTCCCACCTCTGCTGGGCAATTCACTTGCTTGCCCTGCAAGTCTACCTTCAGGCCCATCCCTCCTTTCCACTTGTGGGTCTTAACCTGTCATTCCGTTAAACCTGCAACCTGACTCGTCGGTAATATTCAGTTGGCTAGCATCTATCCCCATTAGCTCCGCTCCGCTCGGTCCCACTATTCACAGGCCCGCCCTCGCTGTAACTATATATACTTAACTTGTACATAGGTTACACTTCAGTGATAAAATCGACTAGAGTTGATCCCCCTTTAGTTCTCGTTGCCAGTAAGTAAATTAGGGCACAGACGTGTAACTTGGCACAGTGCTCCTGGCCTGAGTTGCTGAGGCTGAAGCCCTCTGCCATGGAGACGACTCCTTCATCTCAATCTGGTCTCTAACACCACAGATGACCGTGTCTCTGCCATCATCTGAATTGCTGGGGGGTAAAATCCTTTGCCCAGTGGGCCCTGGACAACATCCAGGCCGCTCACGACACCACTATTAAGAGTCGTGTAGAACAGGCTATCCAGGCAAACCGACATCAGCGCCCTGATTCCCCCAAACTGAAGAAGGGGGACTACACATATCTTTCAATGAAAGATCCGAACCTCCCCAAGGGGAGGGCGCACAAGTTGTTGCCAACATATATTGGCCCTTACAAAATACTGGAGGTACTTGAGGACTCATCAAACTATGTCCTCAGGCTTCCCCCAGTGTTGACGCAAAGAAATATCTTTGCAAAGTTCCATGTCTCACAGCTCGCACCTCATGAGCCAAATGATTCTGTGTTATTCCCTGGGTGCGCCATAGAAGTATTTTACGACTTTGGCGACGACCCAGAACAGGAATACCAGGTTAAGGAAATCATTGACCATTGGTGGGACGATGATAAGTCTTTATGGTTCCGTGTCCAATGGGGACTTGGTGACCTTACTTGGGAACCCTTGGTCAACGTAAATGATCTAATTGCGTTGGATGACTACCTAATAGTACAAGGGGTAGAGAACATCGAGGAACTGAACCATCAACAATGGGATCAGACACTGGACAATAGATCCAGTGGACCATCACGACCGCAGCGTGAACGTCGCCTACCAGTCCGATACCAGCAGATATCAATGCCTTATCACGGCCAACTATGGCGTTGAAGCCATGAGTTGCCTAAACTGGCAAGTCCGGGAATATCCGAATAATACCGGATAAATGCAACGAAAGCGGGATCAATCCTGCTTCCTACCATTAAATTTGAAATCGCTCAAATGAACGCGACTGAATCCCCCCTCGCTGATTCTTCCCTCAACCTTTCCCCCATCAAGGAGGCCCTTGTAGACTCCAGCCCAAATTCCCCACCTGTAAGTCCCACCATGGATGCTGCCATGTCGTCGATGGATGATAACTCCACAGTTGCTCAGACTGTCGCCCCTGAAGTGCCCAGCACGGGCATTTTAACCCCAAAACAGGACCCTTCGGTCCTGCCCACTCACATAAGCGTGAGTGAGAAGTACCCCCACCTGCCGTGTTCCACGCAGACAGGGCTTGATCAACTCAAAATGATTACGGAAGTCATGTGGGCCTGTATTGAGAAGAAACTTGAGAAACGTAAGGAGACTACGTTCGAAGACGAACATAGGAATGATGAGCTCGACAAGCTCAGGAATAAGTATGAAATGTTGCAGAACAAGGCTGATGACCTGCATTCTGAAAACAACTGTCTTCATCAACGGATCGAATCCCTCCATAAGGCTAACGACAAACTCAACGAGGATGTCTTTAGAGTCACACACACAGCAAGGGGATGCCCTGCGTCTCCCAAACCCACCCCAATTCAATCTTCTGCTCCCTTGTCGTCATGGCCCACTCTCCCCCAAACCATTGTAATCCCCAGGGTTGGCCCGGTGGATCCTGCGTTGGCCAAGTCTGCACCATCGAAAAAAACCACCTCTTCCAAGAGATGGGCTCCCACATCCGAGACAGACACAGATCAATTTCAATCGACTTAGCCATCAATATGTCCAAATTGTCAGGCACATTAATGATCAAGTAAGCCTGGATCGTGTTGTGTAGTCCATCAAAATAAATTGACCTATTGTTAGAACTGGGCAAGGGCAGACGATTCTGGAGGGGAACCGGAGACTTAGCAAGGAGGGACCTTGGCCTCAGCGACTCATGCAGAGCACTGTGCCATTGTTGTTTGTCCATTTGGTCCTTAATTTCAGAGGCGTTGAGCAGGAAGTCTCTAGGGGGCATTTCAGGTCAATTTTAGACTAAGGGCCTAAAACGAGTATGTACAAGTGCCGATATATAATGGAGAGGGCGAAAGCACGAGGAAACGAAGAGGGTCCGAATCGGAACAAAGGCATCTGAACAGGACAAAGGGAAGACGAAAGTGGAGCGGCACCGAAGGTCATAGGTTTAGAACCTGTGGTACATCTGAAAGGAGATAGGGGGCGAAGCCCAGAGGGGCAGGAAGATGAGGTGAAGTGGGGATGATGACTAACTGGCTAGAATGGGAAGAAGCAGCAGTCCAAATAAGGGTGAGGGGAAAGCACAAAAGATACATTACAAACAGTGAAAGTGCCAAGTATGATCCATGGAGCTCGGAGGTTGCGGAGCTTATGGAGGTTGTGGAGGTGGGGTTGAAAGTCCGAGGAATGTTGGCAATGGTGTTTACGTAGTATGAGGTCACCAATGCAATGGACTTAAGCCAAGGTGGAGTCAAAGTCCGAGGTCAGAACTATGACGGGATCTTGGAGCGAAGGTACAAGTGGTGTCCAAGTACAGGGTACGGGACAGTGGCAGAAGGTCGTAACTTGCCAGAGGTTTGGCGGAAGAGGGTCAGAGGGAGGAGAGAGAAGAGAGGAGTGGGGAGAGGAGTGGAGGAGAGGAAAGGTGTCAGGTCCAAAGGTGAGTATCGGAGTGGACGGAAGTAGGGTAGGAGAGTGGTGGAAGGGTGGAGATGTCATGAGGAGTAAGAGGAGGGTGGCGAGAGGAGTGATGTTCGGTCTGAGGTGAGTATTGGAGCAGACAGAGATAAGGTAGGACTCCGGAGGTGATGAAGATGGGGGTCTAGGAGTCAGATCGGGATCGGGTATGCACGGATATGACTGTCAGGGGACGACTCCTGGGTCCCCATGACCTTCCCCTATGGTCCACAGCCCTGAGGTGTAACCAGCCCTATCCAGGGCACAATCCTACTGTGGGTAAGAAGATGAGAAGGAAGCTAACTTCCCATCTTCCCACAGTGGCCACAATATCAGCAAAACTTCCGGGGATACCCGGAAGTCACATGAAGGGGTAGGAACTGGGCCCGGAGCATGCGGCGTGCGGAGCATGCGCACGTGCAGGAAGCACGGCAGGTGGAAGCAGGTCCGGACGCAGGTCCGGGTCCGGGCTAGTCAGGGTGTGTGTGCTGACAATGACACCTATAGTCATAATCGGAATGCTGGCAGTCAACTTTGATGTGCTTGAATTCAGCAGCATAATCAGCAGCCTTTCCAATAGTAGTATGCTTGAGAGCTCAAAGTTTGCAATGAGTGGTCTCGACGTAATCCACATCTCCAAAGTGCTTCTCAATAGCCTCTTTGAGATGCGTAAAATCACTCAACAACGTAGCATCAGTGCAAGTAACTCCCATAAACCATTTCATCACAGTCTCATTCTTGAGCCAAGTGCCAAAATACATAGTTTTAGCATAATTGGTATTGAACTGGTTCAGATAAAGTGTGAAGCAGGACTCAATTTCAGCGATGTAGGAGCAAACACCAGAAGGTTTGCCAGTAAAAGCCATAGGATTGGGGAACTTGACGGTAGGATGAGAAGTTGTCACCACCGCAGGGGCAGGAGCTGGAGCAGGCATTGCATTCTGAAGTTGCATCTGAACCATGTTCATCAAAGTCTGTTGATCTTGTTGCTGGGCCTGGATTGCAGTCATCAAATCCTGATGCTGAACCATCTGCTGTTGTAACAAGTTCAGCAAGACTTCCAAATTGAGCATAGTAGGGTCTTGATTGCTAGGACCAGGAGTAGAGCTCGCAGACATATTTTGATCCGAGAAAGACATAACCTGTTCCAGAAGTCATGTGTTTTGGAACTGGTCAAACTGTCACAAACCTCTCAGCACTAAGAGCATGAGAACGGAGCGGAGCAGAGCAAGAGTTGTGAGATCACGAGAAGTGAGGTCACAAGCAAGAAGATCACAAGTCACAAGTCACAAGATCACAAGAAGTCAATTCAGGTTGGCAACCTGTGTTGACCAGTTGAAGAATCCATCTTCACTGGTCAACTCCTTATATACATGAAAGCAGGCTGAGACATGCGAGATGAGACAGGAGAAACAGACCAAACATCCAAGCCATACAGGTAGTCGCAAGGCTACATGAATTGAGATGAAACTGAAATGAACAAGACATGTGAGACACATGAGATGTCTGTTATAGAGTGCATAATTGTCCGGACAATCCAGTTGATTCTGGTTCTCTAGTCATCGTCGATTTCAGACTAGGGGTACAGGAAACTATGTACAGAGTGTACATATATATAATAATACAGGAGTGGAGTCAGAGGACAAAGGGAACTGGAAGGAGACAAAGGGGGACTGGATGAGGGAACAACCCCAAGGGTCAAGGGTTGGAACTCTATGGTGCTTCCCAAAAGGGCAAGGCCAAGAGGGGAAGGAGTGGAGTGGGTTGTGGGGAATGACAGCTGACTAATGTGGAAAGGAAGCAGCCATCTAAATAAGGAGGAAGCAACAAGAGGATTAAATGACACCATACAGTAGAGACTGCAGGGTCTGGAGTAAGTTCTGGAGGTCTGGAGTCAGAAGTCAAAGTCCGGAATATTGGCTAGACATACATAATAAATGAAATGCAATAAAGAATACAAGGAGATAAGGCAGAGGAGGAGGTCAAAGTCTGGAGGTGGAGACGTGACCAGAGTTCCGGAGGTGGAGGTGCAATGGGGTTCCGGTACAGGAGTCCGGAGCCAGAGGTGTGGAGCATCACAAGCTCTGGTCTGGAAGGTATGAGGTTGGGATCGGACCTGGAGTAAACTGGAGTCGGACCAGAGGTAGTGTTGGACATTGTGTTGGAGCCAGAGGTAGAGTGGGCTCTCAACAACCAACAGGGGGAGGTGGAGGTGGAGGATGTGTGTCACAAACCTCTCGGCGCTAAGAGCGTGAGAATGGAGTGGGACGGAGCGAGAGTTGTGAGATCACGAGAAGCGAGGTCACGAGCAAGAAGATCACGAGCCACAAGTCACAAGATCACAAGAAGTCAATTCAGGTTGGCAACCTGTGTTGACCAGTTGAAGAATCCATCTTCACTGGTCAACTCCTTATATACATGAAAACAGGCTAACACATGCGAGATGAAACAAGAGAGACATCCAAGTCATACAGGTAGTCGCAAAGCTACATGAATTGAGATGGAACTGAAATAGGCAAGACACATGAGATGAAGACATGTGAGACGTCCATCAAGTCCGCTCCCACTCGGGGTTACAGCTAAACCATAACAATGTGGAGTTCTGGAGGAGATGGAGGTCCAGAATCAGGAGTGGAGGTCTGGAGTTGTATGGATATGACAACGTCCATCGGGTCCATCTGGGGTTATGGCTTAACCATAACAGTATCCATACTGCTAGACTCTGAGCCATCTATGTCAGTAGAGGTTTGGGACAGGATTAAGCGATGGTGGCGCTGATAGTAGGAATTTTGGAGACTGTGAGCATGCTTCAGTGTTGCAAAAATCAGTTGTTCATGGGGGCTGAGAGTCGGCATCAGCTGTATAGTTCTTACATAAGTCATTCATGCTCAGGGCAGATGGTGTTAAAGAAATATTAATTAGTCTAAGATATGGACCATCTTTGTGAACGCCCCATAACTAGTTCAAAACTAATCCTAAACTGTGAAAACTATTGAGGCAAAACTGTACCCACACATGATGGAGTTGCATTCAAGTTGTGTCTTAGTTTTGCTCCAGATTTGCCTTTGTGAATCCCCCTATTACTCCCATAGCATCCCAACAATTTGGATGTAGCTTTGGAAATTTCTGAACCAAATGCCTTGATATGCATCACTCTTCACCTCAGGCACTTTCAAGTTAACAACCAATTGCAAGTATGTATTTGTTACTGTTAGCGTAACACCAATGGACTTAACGGACTCACATGTCGGACTTGTTCAAAGCCAATACACTTTGCATTCGGCCTAGTCCAAACTGTAACTCTCGATGTATATATAGACCGTTGATCAGCTAAGGTTACCCTCAGCTGATCAACACAGGTTACTCACCTCAATTGATCTCAGCGTCTAGCCCTTGTCTCTCTTGTCTTGTTCCCTCATGATCTGAGCCCTTGCTTCCGACCTTGTCCACATCTCTTGCACCTTAGCTCCGTGAGGCCCATAACAGTATTCTGTCAGGGACTGCATGTCAGTTCATGACGATAAGGGTGTTCCCGAGAATCCTAGTCATTGTTAACGCTGAAGTGCCACCTTCAGCAGAGATAGGGCTCATATACATGGATACCGCTATCCACTAGAGTGCGGCTACAAACGAGATAAGAAACAGCCGATAGAATGACGACATGAAAAGATAGCTATTCATTCGGATAATCGTAAGCGAGGTGTGGGAAAGGGGTGACATGTGGATGGAAGATAGAAGCGGGATGCTAAGCGAGAGCTAAGCGAGATTGCTGTGGTATAACGACCATAGGTTCATTCCCACGGTTTTCGGGGATTGCCGGGTCCTACTGGCATAGTTCATCCTTTGGTGCGACATGCGACAATCACTATGTGAAGTTCATCTTCTTCTTAGCGCCACATCTCCAAGTATGACCAGAATGGAAAATTGTCCTTTGATAGATACAGTAAGCCAGAAATTTCCTTTGGCCTCGCAACACTCATGGATCCCTTCACTTTTACCATCACCAAGCGATGAATTAGAACCCATGTCATTGGCATCCTCCTCAGGAAAGTCATTATCCAGTTCATGGAGGGCTCAGAGCGAGAAACTGCCTGGCAGAGTGCAGTGGAGGCCATGGTAGAGAATTGACGGCATCAAGACTAAGTGAAGTGACAGTAGGGGTTGTATGCAATATGAATCAGGACATTCTCAGGTGGCAATTGTGGAAGGTGAAAATCGAGAAATGTTATCAAAGGGAGTCGAAGGTCAGGCAGGAGAGTCCCAATAAACAATGGCAGAACATCCTCGAAATCACAAGGTTTGGATGCAAGCTCAAGTGATGCAAGGGCAGCTTGGTTTCTTGTAGTAGGGATCCAATCCCTTCGGAGCTGGTGCGCCAAGGGGAGAGGATGAGGAAACCCATCAATTTAGTGGCACGAAATAGATGGTGGGATGGGTGGTAACGACAGACATAATATAGTTGTAGATCCTTCTTCATTAGTTCAAATTTTCATTGCGACATGCGACAATACTACTTTTAGTTCAGTTCAAAACCTTCGTGCAACATGCGACTGAACTTATGGTCATTATACCACAGTACCTGCGTTCTTCGGATCACTCCGGATCGTCTGACGGCAACTCCCTTCCGGCATAGGGAGTCAGGGTAGCCGGTTAGGCCGTGCCCTGACATATTCCTATCCACTGTCGACTGAAGAGATTCACCCACTGTTCTCAGTTGAATGAAATCCCTTCTCCCTCTCCTTCCCTACCTCACCTGCTTACACCTCCCAAGACAACCGAGGAAAATGAGATTGTCTGAAACCATCGGTCATTGGAAATGATTTGAATTGACTGACATTCTGTATAACATACTGTCTGTAACACGGTTCAAAATGAGAATCAAAATGGATTGTGTCTATTCTTCATTTCGTGCACAGCCTGCGTCAGAATGGCTCACATTGTGAGTTTGCGGTCGCACTCATGAGTTCGCGACCAGCCGAAGGCATTCAACTAGTTTATATACAAGTGCGGAGCGGTTCCGCCTAAAATTTCTGACGTAATATACTATTGACCCTGATTCCCTACCATTTTTAGACAATCACGAGACCCACCGCGCGCTTGACGGCGGCTTCACTTAAATGATGATGCTCCGTCCGTCACATTCATTTTACGAATAGTGTCGTCCCCAATTGCAAGTCTTCGATCTCCCACACAGCAATATTATTAGCTGACGCAGCTTCCTTACTACTGCACGCTGCACGGCAGTATATATGCCGCTTGGCACCTATGTCTGACCCTTTTTGATAGCACGCACTGGTATAGAGGTTCGACCCTCACCGTCCGTTGTGGGGCTTAGCCTTATATCTCATCCTTAGATGTCTGAAACGACTTCAATACCACCCAATCCCTTCAAGCCACCGCGTCGTATCGTCACTGGCCATACTCCCGATGGGAAGAGCACCACCATTTTCGATGGGGAAGTTTCCAGTGCCCCCAACGTTGGCACGAGATTCTGGGTCACTAAAGGATGGCCAACAGATAATTCGGGAGATAAGTGAGTATCTATGCGCTGATCGTTTTCGGAAATTTGTTGACAAATTTCGATCACCTCCCATTCTCAGCAAAGACTTGAGAGATGAAAGTCCGGATCGTGCTGGTATCTTCCAGACTAATGGGACAAATTTTCTTGCCCAGGACGTCCCCCCGGGTGCCATCGTTCCAATGGTAAGAGCCGAAGTCTCGCTGCACTCCCAAGATTGTTCGTCGAAACGTTTCTGAACAGCACCGAACGAGTACTCTTGACTATGGTATTCTGAGTAAGTCAGCCACTACGGGTTGGATCTCAACCATCACACAAAAGATTTCCTCAATTGACTCTGGCTTGCTGCAGTATCAGGAGAACTGACGCTGGTTCTTGAGGATGGTCCTCCCCTAACATTGTCTGAACCGGGAACTGTCTTTGTCCAAAGAGGGACCGCACACCAGTGGGAGAATCGTGGTCCTGACTGGGTCAGAGTCATCTTCGTCATCCTCGATGCTAAACCTTTCGCCTACACGAATGCAGATGGAGCGCAGGTGACGCTGGAGGAGTACCACTCGTGGTCGAAAGCCCCTACTTAACGTATATGTAGATCACTCTTTTGTAACACACATCGATCTTGTTCTCATGGTGGCAAAGCGGTTGACTAGGTTAATCCCATCTGTAACTTATATGGACAAGGGCGGTAGGCATGCAGATGCTCCGTTATATTATCAAACACATACCGATATTTTCATGGAGGCCAACGTGATAAGTAGCCTGTGATGCCTCTTGACATCGTATAAATCGTGCCGTCTCCGATGGTTTTCAATTCTCCATACAACAACACCTGACGCAACACCCTGCTGCACGCTGCACGGCACGGCAGAATACCGGTTGACACCTACGCTTTCCAACAGAACGCATTGCACTGGTGATCAGATATTCGTGTTATCGTAGCTCATTGGCTTCGGATCGCTTCCATGGTCTGGTTGAAAACGCGCGCTACCGCTCGTTCTCACAGCTAGCTGCGTACACTAATGTATCGTGCAAACGACCCGGCCTGTCCGTGCCAACTCCCAGCCCCATCTTCCACATATCTTGTCTTCAAGATGTCTGAAACGACTTTCGTACCACCCATTCCCTTTGGGCCAACGCGCCGTATCGCCACTGGTCATATTCAGCATCGGTTTCAATGGCGAAGTTCTCAAAGCTTCCAACGCTCGCACGAGATTGAGGGATGTCCAACAGATAATTCTGGCGATAAGTCAGTAGTCACCCACCAGCTGTTGTTGGAGATCCATTGGCAAACTTGAATAATCCGCGAACCCTCAGCAAAAACATGAAAGATGGAATTGCGGAGCGTCCTCGTCTTTTCGAGACTAATTCATTATCGGTGACATTTCCCCAGGCACCGCCATTCCGATGGGCCAAAGTCTCGCTGCTCCACCACCTAACGAGTACTCTCGGCCATGACATTCTAAGTCAGCCACCACAGGTTGAATTTCGGCCATACTGCGAAAGTTGACTCTAGCGTGCTGCAGTATCGGGATAACCAACGCTGTAACACCGTCCCCGAGACGGACTAACAATTACTGAACCAGGAACTGTCTTCGTCCAATGAGGAAGCGCGTACCAGTGGGAGAATCATGGTTCTGCCGGGTTAGAGTCATCTCCGTCATTCTCAATGCTAGTCACCTACACGAATGCCGATGAGACACAGGTGGCGCTAGATGAGTACATACCAAGAGCGAAATGGTGCTTAAAGCGTGTAATTTGCATCAATTCTACGAATGCCCGTATATTTGCAGTTTACTAACGAATTCTTGTTCTGATGGTGGCAAAATAATTGACCACATGGAACGTGGCACCGAAAGGCTAATCCCATCCGCAAGTGAAGCCCAAGGTGTTGTGATCAGCTGCTATCGAGAGCTGTGATGAGTGTTCCCACCAAGCAAACAACAAGGAATCGGCAGGGCATCGTGATACCAGGTGAACATACCCTATGTAGCAGTGGGGTTGAAGCTTAGGTGTGCGCATGAAGCAAGGGCATGATTGTAAGGTTCCTTGAGGGCAGTACCCTATTGTATCGGAGATGCAGCACAATATGCGCAGGTAGACTGGGCCTGGGAGCGCAGTGGGCGATACGAACATAAGACCAGCGTAACTGTGTTCACAAATATAGCGGCGGACAAATATACCAATCGGTTAATTATCGTCTGACACGACTTGAGAATATCAATACCAACAAACGCACATGGCCTTACAATAGGTGTACGCTTTGCGGATTGCCATCCCAGACGAAATTCTCCCCTTTGGAACTAATGCAGAACGTATTGAGCATTCAAGGGAGTAGCGTCCGTGCTGCCATACATATGCATATATATCTATTCAGCACTCGAATCTCGAATCCTAGCAAGCAAGGTATCAACCGCCCGTGGCAGGTAGGCAGGTCACCAGCCTCTATTAGTATAGACGTGGCAGGTGCGTGGGCAAGTGGAGCACATTGCATGCAATGGCTTCAGTCATCTGCGGGGATGCTGCATTGCGAACTAACTGTATCGGGAACATTTGGCCCATAAGCCGCACGTACAGCCTTGAGGTGGGTCACACGAGGATGAAGAGGAAGCATGACCGGCACGAACCGTTTATGCGTGGAACAGCCACGACCGCCGAATAGCGGTAATTCAGCTTGGAATCTGTAATGAGCGACGGATCCTCCGGGGCACCGTTGTCCCTCTCGCGCACCCTACTCCATCTTGAAGTTCATAGTTGTCATCAAAGGGGATGGTCTCAGAATACGTCCCGACTTTCAACAGGCTCTTTCGGGAAGCCACAGCGTTGCGTCAATTCCTCGAGAATGATGACGTTCATTTGCTTCACCCCAGCGACCTCTCCTCCCAGCGTCTACTTAGGGTGAGCCCAGAGACAATTGGGCGCCTGGAGTCCCTCGAGCAGGTATCCATCGATCTCGCGAAGGTCCAGGATATATTGCGGGTGTCACAATCCTGCATCCGGCTACGCATTGCGCAGGTCAAGTCTTCCTTAACTCCTGTCAATCTCATCCCTGTAGAGATCATGCGGCAAATGTTTAGCAATTGCATCACAGCCGTCGATGATTCTAAGGCGGTTCGCTCAACTGTGATGGCCCTCTCTCAGGTTTCAACGCGCTGGCGAGAGATTGCGATTGGACATAGCAGTCTCTGGTCATTGTTGGATCTTTCTTGGTCGGATAGCCTCATTTCACTATGGAGATCGCGCGCGGGCTCCCAGCGTCGGCTGGACGTTGTTATGCATTCACTTGACGACCAAAAGAGCATTACTCCCGCTAACACCACCTCGAAGTGGAGGTCCCTCCATTACGAGTTCCTTGCTATGGGCCACGACACTCCGAAATTATTCCATTCTCCATTATTTGATGATCGGCTGCACGGGTTAGAAATGCTGAATCTAGCTCCTAATGGAGGTGACTGGGGCATAGGAAGCACCTGTTTCGGGCATAAACTCCCACATCTCCATACATTACGCCTCATGGGTCAGTTCCATATCGAGTTTAACTACGCTTCTCTTGGGAAACAGCTAGTGAATCTTACCGTTTCAAGATTGGACTATCAGCAGTTGAAGGAGGTTTGCTGGTCGTGCATTCGACTCGAACGGTTGTGTATATCGGTGTGGCGCTACAGTCCTTCATCAAAGGACAAGACGGTCGTTATGCCGAAGACACTCCGGAACTTGATTATTATGAACACCGAGGCGTACATTTTGGATAGACTGTTCGAAGACATCTCTGCGCCGGATTTGACGAAGCTGAGCGTCTACTTACCAAAGGTGGAACATTTCTCGAGGCGGTATGATATATCTATTCAGCTCATGGAATCATTTGTGAGCAGAAAAGAGTTCAAAGCCATGAGTTTGGTGGAAACTGACGTCATCCTTCTATGGTAGTTCACCCAAGCCCCCAAAATTGAGCAATTATCCGTCCTGAGTGACTTCCAATTCACTCATGATGTGCTCACGTCCCTTGCCAGGGCGATATCACCGTTTGGCTCCGTCGAAGGCATCTCGCAGGCACCTTTTCTCCTCCCCAATCTGAATTCCCTCGAGATAGGCCTTGATATGCATATTAGCACACTTAGCCGACCGAGAAGGCTTGGAGCGAGCTCTTATGAGATGATAGGTCGTGAACTGACAGCGCTGCTGAGGGCGAGATCGGGCGAAGATCAATGGCTGAACGGAACCAGGCGGAGGTATCGGCTCAGTTGCTCGCCACTCGGTAACTCATCTGGGCATCTGGAAGCAGCAGGCTGGCTGGGTGATCGGGTGGTCAGTACGCAATCGAGGAATGCTTTGGATAGTTTATGTATTGAGGGCCCTATTGACGAAAGGGAGAAGGCGTGGTTGATGGGAAAGGTCCGGACGCTTTTGGTAAGACCGCAGGGGAATGAAGGGTGGATGCCGTTCTAGCGTATCCATTTATTGTGAGGGTATATGGGTGAAGTCCTGGCGTTGTGTATATTTAACTTCGTGAGCCACTCTACTTCAGGAGAGGCCACTTTGTTTCGTGACTTGTACTTCTGCTGTATAACTGTTGTACAGATCGCTGTTTTGTCTATCCAATTCTCCTCGACCTTCGTCTGGCACTGACGGAGGTAATCAAACAGCAAACCGTGGGAAAATCTCTCTCACGCCACGCTTGAAAATTTCTTGACGACGTTGGGACAACGGGGTCTCACCGTCGAAGTCAACTCGTGGAACTAGAGCTGTCGGGACTTGGCGAATCCTTAAGATGATCTCAGCGTCCCTTTCAGCTTCACAACTGGCAAGATATTTGCTGCCTGGGACAACCCATCACCCCCACTTCACACTTGGTCTTCCTTCCATCCAGATCAAAACATTCATCTTCCAGTCACGGCATAGATCCATACAAGTTCGGAAACGAATCCTTGATAAAAAAATTCCACACCAATATGTCCGCATCCGAGATGAATCCACACGAGAAGTCGGACCACTCACGCCCCTATCCACCGTCTTATCAAACATCAACAAAGTCGATGAACGCGTTGAGCTCATCCTCTCCGAACCCGAACCCATTGTCCGTGTCATTAGTAAGGAAAAGCTCAAAGAACTTCATAAACAAGACAAAGCTGCCGTTAAACCCAAACGCACGTACCCACCAAAAGAGATTCAGATTACGTGGAGCATCGAGCGAGAAGATCTCGAGCGGAAGTTAGACAAAGTTAAGAAAGAACTGGACCGAAATGTCACAGTGGAACTGGTGATAGGCAGGAAAAAGGGGATGCCGATACCTTCTCCAGGGGAGAAGATGGAAAAGATGGATGTGATTGCGGAAATGTTGAAGCTTTTTGGGAGGGAAGATGTTGGCGCAAGGTCCATCGGCTCGCAGTTGTCAACAATGTATTTCAGGCCACCTCCAGGGAAGAAGCCATGATGCCCGTGAGGCGTGTCTCCGAAGAGTCGAAGGAACCATGGCGTGACATCTAGAAACCACTGTGCTTTTTGGCTTACGCTAATGGAAGTATAATATTGGATACAGGTGCGAACTCTGGTTCGCCTGCGGGTGGACACGTGGAAGGCGAGATCCGATACTTTTGCCGCGCGCCGACTGATGGCGAGGTTTGATTCACTTCGGCCATATGAAAAGCATTTTGTGTGTTTTGCCTCATGTCTACCGCGTGTTGGATCGTTTTGGGAGTATTAGGGCGCCGAACGTTTAGTATGGCTGCGCGCGAGTTGTGTCCTTTGTAGCTGGGCTTTCCTCAGAATCTCTCGGTGCTGCAGTCTTGCCTCATGGTAGTGTGCAACCGTATATAGGCTTCATGGCTCGAAAGGGAGCGTATGTCTCAACGGTAATAATTCATATCTCTCTCGGTGTCAGTCGCCGACTCATCACACCCTTGCTTCCTCCACTATGGATCATTCCCTTCCCTCATCCCAAATAAACTCCATACGGTTTGACAGTGCTTCATTAGGATCTAGGAGGCGTGCCGCCAGTGGTGGCTCGATTCTATCAAGCTGGTGGTCGAAGGTCCGAAAACGCACACGCTCAAGGGCGAGCAGCACACGCAGTGCTCCCAACGCCTCACCATCGGCGCACTCAATTCCTCGCGCTCTTGGTGCAACCTCCCCCATATCATTCCACTCCCATTCTAGTGACTCGTCGCAGGTGCCAGCCCCAAGACTGGCACTACTGTTCGATGGCGCTTACAATCCCCCTCCACGATTTGATCCAAGTGTGATCCTTTTTGGCCCTGTCCCATCAATCCTCCCCGCGTTGAAAAGGCTCCATAACTTTCCCACCAGCTCCTCATGCGAGGTCGGGAACTTGCATCCCTCGGGGAACACAGCATCTCCTGCAAGAGTCCCTCCTAATTTACGTTTTATATCTCTCTCCAAACCCTTGTTCTCCCCATATCCAGAGACACAACTCGATCTTAGTCACGCTCAGGTGGAGCGGTTCACTGTCAGGGAGGCACTGGGTTCCGGCCGAGGCTATGCTCTTTTACAGCTTGCCGAGCCAGGTGGCTCGATGTATACGTTGCGTTTAGAACATGGAAAGTTCGAGAATGGCGATGAGGGGGTGAGTAAATCTAAACCCAGGCGAAAGTTTCTCTATGAATTGATGACTGTGCTTAGGCTCCGAATTCTGCAGAAACAGATTGCTCGGACGAATATCTGAACAGCATCACCGCCGCGGATATCGCTTTTGGGAAAGAACAGCCGTTTATTGATTTTCTTCACACGTTAGACGCACTTGTCCAGAAATGGGAGTTCGGAAACAAGTGGGGAGTAAGTCGTCAGCCGCAGGACTAGCGAAGTGCACGTTTGTGACGCGTCATACTCCTAGAAGCGACATGGGACTAGCCTTTCATTTGCTTTGTGGATGGCAAAACAGCTGGCCGAGCACGATTCTGAATGGGGAGAAGATCTTGCATCGGCCTGGGTTCAGGAGAATAGCCCAATTATTGCCCACCCTGTGGGTTCCAGTCACCAAGATCAGTGCGACGAAGGGGGAGTTCCCGACGATGACGCCCATGAATCCCAAGAAGACCAGGTGACCTTCCCGGAAGAAGAGACCGAAGAAATGGAGCCGGTGATTCTAGAAACTCCTCAAAGTGAGTATGTGATTAATTTACCCGGAAGTGTATTACTTATCAAATGCTTCAGTGGTCCTGTCGGATGGAGAGACGGCGTCGGAACATTCCGCTCATACTCCATCAACACCTCTTGCTCCGCTGGACGACGATATTGCTCATTACCTCAAAGCGTTAGTACTCTTTGAGGGAGGAACTCCTCCCGATGTCGAAGTAATTTCCTAAGCCTTATAATTGATAAAACGCGGCTCATGCATCCCCTAAAAACGGGATGTGACGCACCGCTCAAACTCAGAACTGTATCGATACCACGGCTATTAGAATTGTTCACCATTATACCCTACTCACTTCGGCGTAATCAAGGAATTAATAATGTGCATATATACATAATGTAAAGCGCTGTATCAATCAACTTCCATTTAAAAACAACTAAAGACCAGTCGCCAGGAAAATGGATAATTTAGAAGGAACAGACAGACCATGCGTTTCCATGTCTTGTGCCACCGTCGCCAGAGCTTGTAGCTGTTTCTTGTGGTGGGCTCTCAGTACACCGGGCAGTGCGTCTATCCCTACAGGCCTGGAATCGACTCTCTTCCCCAATAACAAACGCCTATTTCGTCGTCGCACGCTTCGTTGCATTTCCCGCATGTGCCAAAGGTCTCCGCGAGGGGCGAATAAAGCTATGGCAGCTCGGAAAAAGTGTTCATCAGGGACTGGGACGGACCCACCCAATTTGAAGCGTGGTATATTCCGTGGAGAGGTAGGAGACATCGACTTCTGCGTCATCAGCCAAGTCTTCACATGTTCATCAACCTCCAGGATCTTTGCACTGTTCTCGAGCATTGATTGGTACAGCCGCATTCCATCTCTCAGGCATGTCCGTGCAACCCTCAACCGGAGCTCATAGAGAAATGGGGAGCTATCGCAGGAAACGGAGTAAATGCCGCGACGACTTTCAGCGGCGTAGCACTGAAGCATGATGGTGTAGGCATGTACTGGGAGACACCACGGTTCCCACGAAATAAGAGTTGTAGAGGAGTTACATTCCCCTTTCATTAAAGCAGAAAATTGCGTTCTACCCTCCTCCCATGATCGCTTCTGCGCTGAGAGGGCTTGGGAGAACAGCCACTTTGCGTCTCTTGGGCGACCAACTTTGACGAGAAGATTGAGTAGCGCCAAATAGAGCTCTGGACCAGATGTAAGCATTTTCAAAAAGGTCTGATCTGCTGGTGTTTGAGCGGGACGGTTGAGGACATCTCGAACTCGTCGCAGAATAGCAAGCGCAAACGAGCGGGGAGCATTCGAAGAGGATTGGTGGTGGATAATTGACAGCAGGACATTGCGTTTCGTGATGTAGGTGTCAATACTTGAAATTAGGGTAGAAGTGTCAAAGAAATTCGTTGGGTCTGGCAGAGGAGCACAGATCTCCAGGTTCGAATTTAAACGTTCACGAGATCCAGGTTTGGAAACATCATCTCCTGGGACTCCCATGTTGATTGAGGAATCTATTGAAGAATGAGTGTGGGACTCCGTGGTCTTTACATCGTCGACACATCTTCCCATCGAGTGCACGAAACTGAGCAGGGCTTCAAGCTCCGCACTGGGTCGTAGCTTGGCTAAGCCCCTTATTAGAATGGCGGTCGTCACATGTCCTAGCTTGTATCCTCTTCTGCGCATTTGGTCAATGACCTTGATAGCTAAGGAGGGATCGGGTGTTGAACGATGTCGCAACGCGTAATTTAAAAGAGTATTCAGGGAATATTCATCCAACGGCTGAAGCATGGAGGGATCAGAGGGGCTTGGGGTCCAGCGGGAAAGCGAGAAGCTGCCCGAGGTATGCGCAACAGGATCGAACCTAAGAGGCCAGAAGATCAAATTATCGAGAATGTTCTCCATCCCAGATACATCGGCCTTTCGCCTTCCCTTCCGCAGCCCAAGTTCGACGCGATAAGCTCTATGATATCGTGAGAAGTTGAAGGTGACCTCATCTTCATGATCTGATTGTATTGTGGTTATCCTGAAAGGCCCATTTCCACACGCTCTACCGGAGACATGCTGCAAGACCCCAAGGAGAGGGGCCAGGTGGCCACATGGCAATGCTCTTTCCTCAAGCAACAGAGCCAAGATACCTAGGGCGGCTTGGGAGTCTAGCACACTAACGCCACCCCCGGGATCGAATGATTTTCTCGAATCTCGAAGATCCGGAAGGCTGAGAGCGGAAACAATTCTTCCCAACATCTTTGACGTAGGGAAAGGTACTGGGAGTTCAGAATAATGGAGTCCGTGATTGACAACGTCCTGCATTGGTATTCCTGCGATATGTTTGAGCGCCTGGCCGGACACGATTCGAGAACGATCATCCTGGCTAATGCGACAAAGGCCTTCTTCGCTCCAGTCCCAGCCGGACTTCACTCCCGTGTCCTTGCTTGGATCAGGGGAATTGGGCGTATGGGGTGCCAGATTCTGAGCATCTGTGTCATCAGGCGCATACGCCTCCACTTTAGCACCAGCAGTGCGCAACACAGAACGAACTTGATAATCTTTTACCAACACCGCAAAAAGCAGAGTGGCAGTGAGAATCTCGCCTTGCAGCAGGCAGGCATTGAATACACGATCATACATGAACCTTGATCGGCGCCATCGGTAATAACGGAACTTGTGCAAGAGAGTAATAGCACGCTGGGTGCCCTCATTCAGCCGTGTGGACCGGTATGTATGCTTTTTGGATTCCGAGAAGGACACGTTGGGAAGTTCGACGTTCGGATCGGATGAAGTTAATCCCGACCGAGATTCTCTGTGCAAGGCTTGACCCAAGCGTTCCATTTCGCTGGCTATGCTCAAATTCTCCGTTGTCGACATGTCTCTACAGGGACGACAGAGTGCATTGATAGTGGCCTCCAGCGTCTTTGTCTTAATCGTATCCAGTGTTACGGTGCCAAAAGTGGATTCCCCGCTCCAAAAAGAGATCCTTGGCTTTCTTTCAACGACGGCAGAAACAACTTTGAAAAGATGGTGCGTCCATTGCAAGCGGATAAGCCCGTGAATGAGCGTGGCGGTCGCAAGACGAGGGTAGGGAGATCTGAAACTAGTGTAACCGGGATTATAGAGCTTTCGAGGCGGAGGAAGACTATGGGTTGGGGATTGGACTGTACAAAATTGGTTGTACACGTCGAGAGCCTCAGCAGTACGGCCAGATTGGAGTGCCATTCGAATCTGGGCGCTGATTGTGCGCTCGATCTCCGCGCGTGACACATCCGACCCGTTTGGAGCTGTTAGGGTTGATAAAAGGGGAAGATGATGAAGTTTTGTCTGTGGGAACCCCGGCTGTGGGGGACTGAAGGACTCTGATGCAACAAAAGCAAGACGCCTAACGACGCCAAAAGATCCACATGGCTAAAAGTTGACAAGATGAAACGGAATTCTCGGGTTGACAAACTACATGACGCACCAATCGAGAACTCAGGAATTGGCGGTAGGTGGTTACATGTTGCTGACACAAACGACGAGCCCAGGCAAGCATGCAACTTCATATCACCGAGGTTCCACAATGCCTCCCCTCAGTCACACCAATGTTTTTCCACAAATATTCCGCTCAGTATTGGAAGAGCAGAGACCAGTGGAGCTGAGCTGGAACAGTTAACGAAAACAGCTAATTCTTGCACTGCCACCGAAGATTCTCAATTGAACCCGACGCCACTCGGTGGTTCGGTTCGGTTCTGGGGCCAGACACAAAGCAGGATCGCACAAGCCCAAACTATACCAGCCAGAGTATTCTACATACGGCCCCCTGCCGTGCGCTCCGCTGTGATAGCCGCACTGCCCATGTGAGAACGATATGAAGCAACAAGACGGCGTACCGGACACCACCTTTTGGGTTGTGGCAGCTGGAATCGGTCTTCATCGCCAGCATTGGAGAAGCCGGAATGCGCCCTTCCATCTCAAGTCCATCATAAAAGCCGCAATGTATTGTTGCACAAGAATTTTGACTGCACATCGACGTGACTCTGAATGGTCTGAGTGCGTCAATGTCATGGATGATACATGTTTATTATCTTTCCATCCCTCTTGTTGATAGCTGTAACAGAGCGTTATACTTCCGCTCACTGGTGTTCGTGTTGACATGCAGCTGAGGAATGCGCTAGCGTGCTCCGGTCATCAAGCGCAGTATGCAAGATCGAAGGCCACAGTTTCATCGTTGCCCGACAACGATGTTACCAGCGCCCCATACATGGGTGTTAGAATGTCTAATTCGCACATAGCGCCATATGACATAAAATACACAATCAACGAGCACCTTTACTTTGAAATCCGTTGCAACGTACTAAAGACCGGATCCGCAGGACCAGGCCCACCTAAAGCCCATCCCGCGCCTCCCAATGGGGGATAGAGGGATGTCTGCGATGAGGGCCGGTACCCTCACGCCCCTGTCGTCGACTCCAAGCAATGGCAGAAACGATGGGAGGTTGTCGGTGAGAGGATGACACGAGGCAGGAGGCATCGACCTGCAGGGGTAGGGCGGGCGTCGGTTGCGAGATAGATGCCTTTGTCGTTGATCAGCATGGATCCAGTGGGGCAGCACCCGTCGCATGGCACTTGACGTCGCCGCGCTGTGACAGGGATACCACAGCGCAGGACGAATTTAATCAGCCAACAGCGCACCCAAAATGCGTAATCACTAACCTATGGGCCGATCTGTTTACAATGGTACAACGCCCTCTATCACGATAGGTTTCAGTCCTCGAACATAGGGTGGAGGCGAGGTGTTTCTAGCCACCGATCACAACCCTCCCTTACCCACGTTTCAAAAAAATTCGGAAATCAGAAAGCAGGTACGTGTTTCATCTTCTAGCTAGAGTCAGCTTCGTGTAAATAATCACACCTCCTGAGACTGTTGCGACTTCTTCTGATAGGGTGATTAATTGTAGACTGGTACCGGAGCAAGCTTCCGCGAGTCTAAATACCAAACTCTGATCTTCGTTATCTGGTGGCCCAACGGAACAGAGTGCGGGCAGGTACACAACTTGTATCTCGGCGACACTTATGCCATTGTACTCCGTCCACATGCGAGTTCTTGAAGGTACATAGCTATATTCCATGCATATGAGACCGATTAAGAAAAGGTCGTCCCCTAACTGGTAGATCGAGTGTGTGCCTCAACATATGATTATTCGCTTTAAAGCGATATCTCTAGCACCCAGAATAAGTGTTTGATGCAACCTGTCCAGAGGCCGACAGAAATAGTGATCAGCGGGCCTCCCAGAGCTGAAGGTAACTCAATTGTGATACAAAATCATCATGCATTCTTGTACGCGAACGGACTGGAGTGACCGTTCTTTAGCACAAAGGCCGCAGGTTTGGAATTGTGTTAATTGCAAGCCTGAGCCAAACAAGGCTGCTTTCATCCAAGGGAAGGGATTAGGGCACACAACCGAGTTGATCGATCGCCTGATCTGAGCCAGCACACCAAACCAGCAATGACATATGTACCTGCACCCCGCATACACGTCGGCGTAGATGAAGTGTTTGTCCGCCTCGGTCATGCGGTGGCGAACAGAAAAACCCGATCTGTCCTGATGTTTTGTTCTGGACACTTGAGCCGCAAGCTGCTCGGTGAAGTGGGTCAAAATAAGCATTAACAAAATTCAAATTAATCAAGATTAGCCCCATCTCTTTTCGTCCACTCTCAGCCGGGGAGAGGGGATGAATCCAGCGTACTGCGACCAGCGTAGGGCCAGACCACACATGATGCGACGATGAGCAAGGTAAACTCTTGATATAAATGATGTAATCTTCACCCAAGTACATATCTACTGCTGCGCTTGCAGAGCGGGACGTCAGGTGGAGTCGAGAAATCAAACTGAAAGTGAATTTAAAGATTCGACACAACCGCATATATCTGCTCTTACTGTAAGTATATCATCTTTGCATATCGCGCAATGGGGCATCTTCATTCCAATTTCCAGAACCTTCCGACTCTGAGCTACTGGTTCCTGGCTTATCAATATAGGCTTATCGCAATGTGCATCATGCATATGAAATTCTAAGGAAACACGCAATATAAGTGTCAGAGTCCCAAGGTCCGACGGTGTTCACTATCGAGACATGCCTGCCACTCAACTCACCAAACACCTTGCCGCCGCTCTCAAAGAGCCATCCCCCAATCTGAAAACTGCTCTGCGGCTGTGTGACGCCTGGACCTCGTACTCTTATGACACCATGAAGGCCATCATAGATGAGTGCGTCGTGGACGACTATGTCTGGAACGCACTTCCAGAGTCCATCATCTTGCCGGGATGGAATCAGATGAAAAAGTCAGAATTCATCGAGGCATTCGGTACCGCTTGGTGGCCAGCGATGAAAGGAATGCAGGTGCGCAGTCCGATTATGCATGTGATAAGTGCGCACCGAGAAACTTCTCGTTTAGATGATCGTCTTAAACATGGTGGAAAACGAAAATAACGTAATCCTCTACACAAAGCTGGGGGTGCGTCCATTCATGACTATGCTTTTGCACTGGAGTGCTGAATAGCCCCTAAATGTAGCCTTCTGCCGTCTCAGCGGAAGGAAACCCGATCGCTACTTCATACGTACACAGGTTCCGCTCCAACGCCAGCGGGAAAGTCGTGGAGCAAAGGGACTTCCTAGATACCAAGTTCATACATGATTTTTGGTGGTCAGAGCCTCAGCGAAGCATAGTAGCGGGAGGAAGCCCTATAGCAGCTGGAGGAAATCGCTAACCAAGACTTAGTTCTACTTTGTTTCCGGTCGATGTACACGGTTCAACGAATATGCGATGCTTTTGGCCAAATAACAATGTAACATTTGACAGTCATCGGAACACCAGCCCACTCCTGAGGGTTCGCCCCACTTGAATCAGTTTTTCGCAGTGGTAGAAGTCCATCAAGTCGCCAGAGCGAGAATAGCGAGCCTGTAAGTTTCAAAGGAATCATGAGCCGAACCGGGGGGAATAGTTCTTCGGAAGTAGATCTGAATTGTGTTGTTTACTATTCGACGTCAAGTTCATAAACATTGGTTGAGCGAGGTGCCGCTGAACGCACGCCTTCAGCGGCGCCGAGCAACCAATCAATAAGCTGCTCAGTTTGGAGTTGATATAAGAGGTTTCATGGCAAAGCTCCTGCAGCCGAGTTGTGAAAAGCGGTGGTATGTTCTCGAATCCGGGAACGCTTAGGAGCACGAGCCTGAGAGAGGGTCGAGCACCTTCCCAGCGAAGGTACTTAGCCAGTGTAGGGTCTCAAAGCGGGTGGTGAGATGTCTGCACTTTCTGCAACGTCGCCAAGGATCCTGCAGTAGCTATAATAAGGAGAGGTGGTGCTACAACCCCATTAGGAGGAGGTTTCAGGACTAGAAGACAGATCCCACGAATGAGTCACATGTAGCACGAATGGCAGCCAGAAGTGAGGGGGTAGCATGGCGAACCAAGAGTTGATGAAATTACTCATCCAGTACCGCTGAAAAAAATGGAGGTAGGAGAATGTCACGAGATTCTTTGCGTCTTTAAGACTGGTCATCTTCGAAGACAGTCGATAGGAAGCCAGGTACGTAATGTGCCTGCTATCTGACAATTTTACTTCGTGGGAGCAGACTTCTTTCCCGAAGAGGGGTCCCATAAATGCATGGTGACGAAGCTGTGATTTTCCAACTTCTATTGACCTAGTTGAACGTAAGATCGATAGATCTAAGCTCCACCCAGACTCCTGCCCGAGTCGTCTTTCAAGTTTATGCGCGTGGGGTTTGCATCTGACTTTTAGGATGGATTAAACCCCTAGACCTTGTCAGGGGGCGGAAGGCCCTTTACCCCTAACCCATCTCGACATTGCACGGATTTACATGTTCCATTCGGGTCTCGTGTTTTGGTTCCTGCATGCCCGCGCCTATAGCTCGGTGTCCAGTACTTAAACAAAAGTGGGACGCGTAGTCTTTGTCTCTATGATACGCGTTATCAGACTGTCGGACATCGACCTTGATACCGAGCTCTCCGGCCCTGCCTCACGGTGCGGCCGAGGAATTTCTAACAACGGGTCAATTCTGCTTCGAGGATACCGGGCCCCTTCTGGCAAATCTCAACCGGAACAATCCATGCAAAGGATTTTGGAAACAGGCTGAGGACCCGAAATACAGTGGGTATTACGTCCAAGGACGAGTGGTTGAGTTACAGGAACTTTAGAGAGGCGCTGCTGCACAAGAAGGCTCAAGAAACCCGATCGAAATGTTTGACTCGGAGTTTCCCGTCAGGCTCGAGGTTGTTGGATGTATGATAGTTATGATACCGTAGATAAGCTAGGTTAAATTGGTCACTTAGAAGGGAAATGGGGGACAAAGTGTAAGACATTGTTGGAGTCATAACGACGAAGATGAACGGTCAAGAAGGTGAAAGTGGTGCTTCATCGGTACACGCTATTTCTTAACAGATCCGGCACCATGTGTGGACAACTGCCATAGGTTATGACGGAAGAGGAATCCATCTGTAACCTTAAGCTAATTGTGATCAAACTCCACAGCATACATTTTAGGACCCGAGCTTCGCGGTATGACAAGAAATCCCTATAACTTCGCCTTGACAGCGCTAGACCGTTTTTCCCGACCCAAAAAGGCATCTCGGACGTGCCTACGTTGTACCTTTCCTGTCGCGGTTTTCGGGATAGACTCCGTAACGAGGATCCTGGTGGGAATTTTGAACTGATCAACCCAAGAGAGCCGTGTCAGCAGGCCATCCAGCACTTCCCGAGATATTCCAGCGTACCGTGGACAACTTGGTCCCCAACTCCCCTTGAAGTCTCTTCTCCACTTCATCCCCGTTCTTCCCCAACGCTTCACCAGCATTGCCACTCTTGAGCACAACAGCCGCCCAAACGATTTCTCCATACTTATCATCAGGAACACCAAACGCAACAGCCTCTCCTACACCTTTGATCCCCAACAACGCATGATCGATCTCCAAAGGTGATACCTTTTCTCCCCCTCTATTTATAAGTTCTTTGAGGCGTCCTGTTAATTGAAGATGGTGGGGTGGATTTGGTTGGATGAACCCTTGATCTCCCGTTCTGAAGGTGCCATTGTCAAGCATCGTAGATTCTCGCAAAAATCGTGAGACATACCTAAACCAACCCCCTTCCCAGAATGCCTCCCTATTCACACTCTCGCCAGCCCAATATCCCTTCGTAACATTCTTCCCTCTGACACAAACCTCGCCCAATTCACCCCTCTTGACCTCTCTCCCATTACCCACGTCTCTGATGCAAACCTCCACACCGACGCCAACCCCAACGGTTCCCGGCACCCTTTCTCCTCCTTCTCCCTTTTCACTCTTCACACGACTGAACGGAGCTAAATTAGACGTCATCTGATGTGCAGCCTCCGTCATTGCATACGCTTCCAATACAGGCGCCTTGAATCTCTCCTCGAGTGCCCTCAAAGTACTCGGGCTCAAGGAACTACTGCAGCTTCGTATAAACTTTATCTTGGGCAATGTATTCGGAAGTGGGGTGTTCAGAAGGATGGTATGGATTGTTGGTACGGCTGTGTACCACGTGCATCCCTCAGAGATAAAATCCTTCCAGAACGTCGATGCCGAGAAGGGTGAGCCGGAGAGCGAGGGCGTAGGGATAACAACGGTCCCACGAGAACGTAAGGGAGAGAGGAGACCTGCTAAGAGACCGTGGACGTGGAAGAGTGGCATAACGAGGAGGGATTTATCTGTAGGCTGGAGGGAATAGGTTTGAGTTATGTTTTCCATCGTTGTGATTAGATTTAGGTGGGAGAGGGGAACACTTTTTGGACGTCCAGTTGTTCCTTGTGGTGTGAATAATACATTGTCAGAGTCGAAGGGTCCGTGGGCATGAAAGAGAATATGCATACCTGATGTATGAAGGACGAGCGTGATATCATCTGGAGAAGGATTCTCATACTTATAAAGCTTTGTGCCCCTAATCGGCACCCCAACCGTCGCCAATTTCCTCCCAGCATCCTTCACACCTGAAAAAAGCCCCGACCGATAGATCACTCTGAGCAAAATATCTCTATCTTCTTCAAGTATAGAGATTTCCGCTACTCGCACACCCACTTCTTTTGCGGCTTGTAAGGCATTTTGAGCGCCTTTTGAGATGCCCGAACCTGGATAGAGTGTTGATAAGACGGGGAGGACGAGAAGCGTTGGTTTCGTATCTTCAAGGTAAAACTTCACTTCGTCAACGGAATAGGTTGGGTTTAGAGGTGCTGCAATGGCTCTGGATGAGGTTAAATATCTGACCAGTGGATGCCAGAATTGGGCTTGGACTTACCTGGCAATGCCAGTCCCCAAAAATGTCACGACAAACTCTAAGCCATTGACTAACGATGAAGCAATGACATCTCCTTTGCGAACGCCTAACTCTTGCACAAGTTTGTCCCTAAAACGGGACACGAGATATCTGAGTGTGAAATATTTAACGTGACGCGCAGCGTCATTTGGAGACATCAACGTGAGCGCAGGAGATGGAAGGGGATCTAAGAGCTCCAACAGTGTATCCATTGATAATGCGGGGTGCCAATCGAGGGGTGGGTGCCAATGCTTGAACAATGGGGTTGAACGACTTTTCGGTCAGCCCCGGGTGGATGAATGTGGGAAAGGGTCAGGGTCAAACAGCCAACAACCTTGACTTGCTTCGATGATCAGCCTGCTTTTCAATTTAGAGTGTGCAAGTATCGCCGGCACACCGTCAAACGATCTCTACATCTCGTGCTTGATCACCTGTTGCAGTACTAGTGCTACTACCAATTGTGCATGTGGTGACCATCCTGCGCAACGGATTAGCAGGCAATCTCTATTATATTATATACATATGTGCTCGGACCCTCCGTTCTTCTTGCTGAACTGCATGATTGGGTGTACGTGTTCTTGGTAGCAGTGTCATGATAAGCGAAGTGCGAGACTAGCACTGCAAGGAACAGCCCCGAAGTTGGCATTACTCTTAATCTTGTTCTATTTCTCATAACTATAATACAAAGGAGTTCAAGCTGGACTTCTCACCCCTGAATGACGTTGATGGGTGCAACCGCTGTCACACTCAACATCCTTCCTCAACTGTTATTGGAGCCCACGGTCGGAGGCTGAGGTGCAGTCTAATTGGTGCCACTAGTTGGTATATATCATGAGGTGGAGGGGTCAAGAGGGTCTTATACGTTGAAATCCCACTCTTTCGTGCAAGTTCTACGTAAAATTTCCCTCGCTAGATCGATTAAAAACCCTTAGGAGCTATTAGCGCCATATCTCGTAACATGTTATTACAAATACAACTGCTAGCCTCTCATCGGTTCCCAGGAGTATTAAAGGCCTTAATTGACCTTCCAAGCTACCTGCCTCTCGACACTCGGTAGCAAAATTAGCCATTCTCATTTTGCTCGAGTTCCGTAAAACACAACCCTTGCAGAAGTGGTCCCCTTCTCATCTTTTCAAAGTGCATCCCAGTCTTCAAGACTATGGTTCCGAGGCGTATGTTGACCAATGGCCAAAGCTATATAAGGGATGTTGTCGTCGCTTACTATTTACCCTTGACCCGTCTGCGGCTTTGAAGGGACTCCCGAAGTACGAATTCTACACTTTGCCCTTTGAAGCCAGACTCCTTCCCAGTCACTCACATGATTTCTCCGAGGTTTAGCCGCAATTTACGTTGCCTCCGAAATCTGTCGAGCTCACGATCGATGTCCACGTCTGCGCCAAGCCGAAAGCGGGATCGATCGGGTCCGCAGGAGTACTTCCCTTCCAACAACTATGATATAAAGTGGATGTCCTCGCCAATGTCAGATCTGGTACATCCTACTATCATGCCAGCACTCAGCATCCTCCCTCCTAGGTCAAGCTCATGGGCTGAGACGCTGACCTATTTTAGTGCGGTCGATGACACTGTGAGGGAGGGAGGAACCAGCAAGTCTTATATGACCGTAGTGAAATTTCCTCATGCCAATACCGCCTGTTTTCAAGGGTTCCTTGGTGAGTTGTCTGTGATTCAGCATGTCTATTTCGAGCGCCGTGGTCTTCCTGCAGTGTCTAATCCTTGAGCAGATACAACCACCCTTCGTGGTGCAGGCTTCGCTTCTCAAGCATATTATGGCCCTTTGCCAGCCGAGTTATCCCCTTCGACTCACTCCGGCATCAAACTCACCCTTCTGGTCCCAATCGAACCTAGTGGCGTCGATGCCACCAAAACATCCAGTTTCACTCCTGGAGGTGGTCTTCATTCCGTAACGAGATACGTTCTAAGCTTCAAGACCGACGCTCCACAACGTGAACCAGATGGTGGAAGGGGAAGCGTCATCACTTACGACTTGGCCTTCGAACCATCCAGCCCTTCTCCGGACCCTTCCAGCCCTTGGTCCCGTTCGGCTTTGGAAGCTGCTCGTGATCGGATTGATATGGCATCGTGGAACACGGGTTTGGGGGGCCGAACAGTGCTGGGACAGACGAAGTTGGTTACTTTAGGTGCATCGTGGTCCGATTTCGTGCCCACTCATCGTGGAAAAGAAGTTCCGAGGGACAAGGCGCCTCTTTTAGACCCCTCGGAAGTGAAGGTAATCAGCTTTATGGCACGAAGTGACTTTGGGGTATGTCAAGGATGAATGATTCTGTTTCCGTTAACCGAAAAGTTTTCTGCATCAATACAGGAACAATCGGGGCCTTTCGAACTGCACATCATATCACTGGATGCTGTGCTACAATGAGCTCTTCCACAAAAGCTACGATTCCTAGGACGTGTTTTGGTTGTGTCCATCGGGATAATGCCCATACTCTACACAGTTCCCATGGTCCGCCAGGTCCATTGGTTAAGATAGAATTTTTAATGCGTGTAGGTCAAGTTGTGCTTTGGGAAGATGGCTGTTGTCATATCCAGTGGCGGCACAAACTGAGCCCATGTCAGTTGCGTCATGACTACTCTCAATAAATTAAGGCACAATCTATGGTGACCCTACATACCTGATCTTTCTCCCGACACCGACCGAATTCACGAAGAATCCCGCTGGCCGGGGTGTGAGAAGACGGACTTGTTGAAATCGCAAGTGCAAATTTGATTTAAGCAAATTTGCTGCGAGCACCCCTCTTGTTTGCATCCCACGAAGAGAGAGCCTGGACCTGCATCCCGGTGGTTCGCGTTTTTTTAGTTCGGTGGAAGGGAGCGCGTGTTATTGGAGGCGGCACGTATATGTGTAAAGTTGAGTTTTAGGATTGGTATACTTTCCTGAGGAGTTACTGATGAAGATAGCTTCACGAGCTCGTACTACATGCATAGAAATATAATGAGTATAAAACCCTGAGCAGCAGCTAAAGGGTATAGGGTCAGACTCGCACGGGAGGACTGAGGGAAAGGGAAAATTTACAGTAAGCTTCGTCCTAATGATTATGTGACGTTGTGCTAGATCAGATATGTCCAACCCATGATAAGATTACATCAGGCAAATAGGAATAAGAAAAATTGGTATCGGAGGTATCTCGCATTAACACCGCGTTTAAAGATAAGTCATCACCAACATGGTGATCCCGAGACCACAAGAGTCAACAGATCAATGTGTGCGCCACTTCAAAAGATGGTCCCATTTACCATATTCAACAGAGACCATTTAGAAAAGTCTCATTTGGCGCGCCGATGCATATGTCGCGGACTCCCAAATGCCTATGGACTTCTGACAGGCTGGTGACAGTTCCCACGCCCAGAAATCTCGTGATTCGCTGAATCTGTATAAATACTGGGGAATTGCCCTCAAGGGGTGTTCACATTCGCAACTTCGCAGTGATTGGCGTCACTATCAATCACCAGGATCCTCCCAGAGAACCTATAGTAAGTCCCCTCGACGACGTTCATTGCAAGTTGTGGGCAAGAAGAATGCAACTTAATTGAGTTTCCGTCTTCCTAGTAGCGCTCCAGCAACGAACAACGCACAATGGCTACGAGCATCCCTCCTAACCCACTGAAACCTACGCAGCGCATTGTTACTGGCCATAGCGCGGAGGGGAAAGCCATTATTATCTGGGATGATGAGCTTGAAAGGATCCCTGTTGGGCCCGGAGTGGAGGACGCTGTCAAAACTACCGTCTGGGTGGAGAAGGAAACACCCGTGAAGAACTCTGTTGAACGGTAAGCCCAGTTATTCTCAACCCATATCTAAGACCTAATGATTTGCTTCTCAAAGTGTTGACCGCAAAGATATAGTCCCCGATCGCTTCAACTTGGCGCAAACTGGGGGATCCCACTTTATAATATTCGACGTAGCACCTGGAGGTGGTTCACCTACTGTGAGTGACCACGCATCAGTCGGTTGCGCTTGCGGGCGACGTACATTCATGTTCTCCTCAACAACTCTAGCATCGTCTCAACTCCCTTGATTACGGAATTCTTCGTGAGTCCCTAACAATCGTTGGCACAATTAGAACCCTTCTCGAACATTTGTTTTTAGTTGCTGGGGAGATTACCCTGCTTCTCGATGATGGCCTTGAACGAAGGCTCACGGAACCGGGAACTGTGGTCGTTCAACGAGGCAACATTCACCAGTGGATTAATCGTGGTAATACGTGGTCGAGAATCGCATTTGTTCTAATCGATGCCGTCCCGGTGCAAGTGAAGAACGCCGAAGGGAAAGCAGTTGACCTTCCAGAAATCTTTGAGGGCGGAAATTGCGATGCCACTCAGGCACAAAAGTGACTTCCTATATTTGGGAGTCCTAGCCTCATGTGTTTTCTCCTATCCAGGGACAATGAAGGGTCAGCGGAGAAACCTGTGTAACATCCAACAGATCGCTGCATCTGGAGTCTGGATCGAGAACATTGCTGTGCGATTTATTTCAAATTCTGTACACTAGCCAAGAGAACGTGCGGCTGTTTGTCCTGATTAGTACCACAAATGA